CCTCCTTTACCTGATTCAAAAATTGCATCTCCTTCCAGAGTTTGGGTTGCTACTGAGAAGGTTGGGTGGTGTGCTCCACAAAATTGAGACATACATATTAGGCATGGGCAATCCATGGTTCTAAAGTACTTACAAAACTAAAGTTCTGGTGGTGAAGACTAGGGGGCGCTGGTGCTTTGCTTCTACAGTGTTGGTCAAGTTCTGGTGGTGAAAATTTCAGAACTCTAACAAAACTTTCAAAATTTCATTATAACAAGCTCTCCCTTACCGGCGCAGCTGGGGAGGGAGAGTAGTTTGTCACCTCCCCCGAATAGAGAGAAAATGGTTCCGTCCAAACTTCTGTTGGGGGGCGGAGCCAGGCTACTGGAGCCGACTGTCGACCCACCACACCCGCCCATTATAACAGTATAGTATGGTTGCAACTAAGGGGCCAGGTAGGATTTTTTTTCCTTCCTATGTTCTAGGAAGGTTTTCACCTACTCTATACTGTTTTGGGACAAATTGGGATGGTGTGATATTAAATAGGATGTCGCAGAAATTGGATAAGAAAGTTGAATATTTGAAGTATACTTCAAGGGTGGTAGGCTATTAACTAAACACACCTGAGGTTCACATTGACCAGGTGAGGCGAATGCAAATGGCCTAAGAACGGGGGTGAGTCCAGCCTTAGTTTCCTTGAGTGAGGATTCCTGGTACACTTACTTTAGAGGTTCATAGAATCATAGAATCATAGAATCAAAGAGTTGGAAGAGACCTCCTGGGCCATCATCCAGTCCAACCCCATTCTGCCAAGAAGCAGGAATATTGCATTCAAATCACCCCTGACAGATGGCCATCCAGCCTCTGTTTAAAAGCCTCCAAAGAAGGAGCCTCCACCACACTAGAGGCATTCTCTCCTGACGTTTCGCCTGCATCTATGGCAAGCATTCCTCAGAGGTTGTGAGGTCCTCACAATGGGGTTGAGGTGGAGGCCATGGTGTGTGGGTGGCCTCACAAATCAGGCAAGGCCTCACAACTTCTGAGGATGCTTGCCATAGATGCAGGTGAAACGTCAGGAGAGAATGCTTCTAGAACACGGCCATAAACCCCCAAAAACCTACAGCAATGATTCCGGCCATGAAAGCCTTCGACAATACAAAAAATACTGTGTTTTCTGATAGTCTTTGGTGACTCCCCCTCGTGACCCCCACGGGGGTCCTGACCCACAGGTTGAGAAACACTAGGTTAGATCAAATGGCTGTTGCAGTTCCCTCTTCTGGCCAGGAGGTGGCACTAGTAGATAGTCTGAACCAGTATAAGCCATGTTGCTTCTAGAAGGTTCCCTTTCACCCTAATCACTGATAACTTATGGAAGATCAGAAAGACTTTTCAGATGTTTTAATATGGCGCTGCACTACCAGGTTCTACGGATATGTAATTTTTAAAGAACAGGCTTTTTCAGTCACATTTTTTGCTGCCCCCCATCCTGTTTACCGATAAATTCCCAACATTGGGAGGGGGTTCCACTTTCTTGACTGTAAAATTCGGTCAATTGACACCAATAGGGAAACCAATAGAGATCGGGGTATAGGGTGGCAACCTGTGCTGGACGGGGTTACACTCCTCCTGAAGTCACAGGTCCACAGTTTGGGTGTCCTCCTGGATTCATCACTTACGCTTGAGGCTCAGGTGTCGGTGGTGGCTGGGAGGGCCTTTGCACAATCGAGACTCGTGCGCCAACTGCGACCGTACCTCGTGAAGGCGGATCTGGCCAGGATGGTCCATGCCTTGGTCACCTCCAGATTGGACTAATGTGCTGTACGTGGGGCTGCCCTTGAAAACGGCCCAGAAATTCCAACTAGTCCAACGGGCTGCGTCCAGGTTGTTAACTGGTGCTCCTTACAGGGAGAGGTCAACCCTCCTGTTTAAGGAGCTCCATTGGCTGCCGTTCATCTTCCAGTCCCAATTCAAGGTGCAGGTGCTTACCTACAAAGCCCTAAATGGTTTGGGACCCACCTACCTGCATGACCGCATCTCTGTATACGAACCCACACGATCCCTTCGATCATCCGGAGAGGCCCTGCTCACAATCCCACCTGCATTGCAAGCGCGATTGGTGGGAATGAGGGACAGGGCCTTCTCTGTGGTGGCCCCCCGACTCTGGAACTCTCTTCCTATGGACTCTCCCCAACGTTGGTAGTCTTTAGGAAGAGCTTGAAGACGTGGTTGTTCCAGTGTGCCTTCCCAGAATAGGAAACTCCTAGCATCATGTCCCAAATGCACTTTACTAGAGATTTAAGATTGTCTGCACACCGTACCTATCTCTAAAAAACCTATCCATTTCACCTGGTCATGTCCAGCATTTTTAAAAATTTTAATTATTACATTTGGCCCGGCCTTAGTTTTTAAATACGTCGTGGTGTTATTGTCTAATGTTTATTGTTATCGTTTTAATGTTTATTGCTTTGTTTTAGGAGTTTATTTATGGTTGCATTTGTTATGCTGTTGTTTATTGTTGTATTGGGCCTCGACCTCTTGTAAGGCGTACCGAGTCCTTCGGGAGATGTTAGCGGGGTACAAATAAAGGATTATTATTATTATTATTATTATTATTATTATTATTATTATTAGTTAGAGGCTCATTTCTCCATCATTTGTAGGCCTATTGGTAGGAATCTTGTATCACTTGTTGGCTACATTTACAACTGCAAGTGTGCCAAGTTTCATAATGTTTCACTAATCCAATGATTTTTGGGAATTTTTGAAAGTTTTTTTTACCATAACATTTTTTATTTATTTAAGTAGGGATTATGGGAATTGAAGTCTAAGGGTGCATCAGACAGACCCTTAAAAGCACGAGCTCCAATGTTTTCATGTGGGGCATCCACATAACACCCAACTTAAAAGAGAACGAATTCGGTACAAAGTAGGAAAAGCCTCCTGCCCAGCCTGTTTTCGGTGATCTAGCAGCTGAATCATTGAATTTCCCCAAACCCGATATCACCAAGCGGAATAATATACACCCCTAAAAGGGATGTGGAATGGAGTCTGATATGAAATTCAAGGATGAGGTGGAATCCCACCCTCCAATGCTGCCTTTCAAAAATGGATCGCAAATGGAAATACCACCACAGAAAGGAAACCAAGCAAGGAGCAATCATCTAGCACAGTGGTTCTCAAGATGTTTATGGCCTTCAAATCCCAGAAATCCTAACAGTTGGTAAACTGGCTGGGATTTCTGGGAGTTGTAGGCTAAAAACATCTGGGGACTCCAGGTTGAGAACCACTGCTCCAGCACTATGATACAGGGAGTATCTACACTGTAGAATGAATGCAGTTTGACATCACTTTCCATTACCGTGGCCTACTGCTGTGGAGTCCTGGGAGTTGCAGTTTAGCGAGACACCAGCCCTCTTTGATAAAGAAGTCTAACAACTGGGTTGTTGTAGGTTTTTTCGGGCTATATGGCCATGTTCTAGAGACATTCTCTCCTGATGTTTCGCCTGCATCTATGGCAAGCATCCTCAGAGGTTGTGAGGTCAACCACAACCATATTTATTACGGTCCATGCACCTTGAAGAGCATCTCTTCTTGTACTGCCGAAGGCTTCCATGGCTGGAATCACTGGGCTGTTGTAGGTTTTTCGGGCTATATGGCCATGTTCTAGACCTCACAACCTCTGAGGATGCTTGCCATAGATGCAGGCCAAACGTCAGGAGAGAATGCCTCTAGAACATGGCCATATAGCCTGAAAAAACCTACAACAACCCAACACTAGGAATCTCTAGGTCTTCCAGTGCAATGCTATGGTCAACTTGTGCTGGAGAACTTAGATATTCCCGGGGAGATGACTCTGTGGACAGCTTAGACTGGAAGGATATGGTCATGCTTGAAAATCTAGATATTCATTGAGAGAAAACACCACTAGGGATCTCTAGGTCCTCACAACCTCGGAGGATGCTTGCCATAGATGTAGGTGAAACGTCAGGAGAGAATGCCTCTAGAACATGGCCATATAGCCCGAAAAAACCTACAACAACCCAACACTAGGAATCTCTAGGTCTTCCAGTGCAATGCTATGGTCAACTTGTACTGGAGAACTTAGATATTCCCAGGGAGATGACTCTGTGGACAGCTTAGACTGGAAGGATATGGTCATGCTTGAAAATCTAGATATTCATTGAGAGAAAACACCACTAGGGATCTCTAGGTCTTCACAACCTCGGAGGATGCTTGCCATAGATGTAGGTGAAACGTCAGGAGAGAATGCCTCTAGAACATGGCCATATAGCCTGAAAAAACCTACAACAACCCAACACTAGGAATCTCTAGGTCTTCCAGTGCAATGCTATGATCAACTTGTACTGGAGAACTTAGATATTCCCGGGGATATGACTCTGTGGACAGCTTAGACTGGAAGGATATGGTCATGCTTGAATATCTAGATATTCATTGAGAGAAAACACCACTAGGGATCTCTAGGTCCTCACAACCTCTGAGGATGTTTGCCATAGATGCAGGCCAAACGTCAGGAGAGAATGCTTCTAGAACATGGCCATATAGACCGAAAAAACCTACAACAACCCAACACTAGGAATCTCTAGGTCTTCCAGTGCGATGCTATGGTCAACTTGTGCTGGAGAACTTAGATATTCCTGGGGAGATGATTCTGTGGACAGCTTAGACTGGAAAGATATGGTCATGCTTGAAAATCTAGATATTCATTGAGAGAAAACACCACTAGGGATCTCTAGGTCCTCACAACCTCTGAGGATGCTTGCCATAGATGTAGGCGAAACGTCAGGAGAGAATGCCTCTAGAACATGACCCTATAGCCCAAAAAACCTACAACAACCCAGTGATTCCAGCCATGAAAGCCTTCAACAATACAAGTCTAACAACCTTGGAAGAACTACCAGGATTTCATGACATTGAGCCAATGGAGTCAAGTGGCAGTCATCCTACAGTGTAGATGCACCCTCAGATCATAACATTATTGTGAGATCTCGTTGTATAGCTGACTACTTCAAGGGCCATGTAGAAGATTGTTTCCTCTGCTGTTGCTTATCTTCCACCGGAGCTGATGGTGGGGCTTGGTTGGACGCATCTCCTTCAGTTTCTTCAAGAGGAGGACGGTCTACCTTCAGGGTTTCTTGACTTAACGCCCGAGGCAAGGTTGGAGGTTCTTCAGGTTGCTGTTCAGTTGGTTGTGGTTGCTCCTTCTCATTTCCAGATGAAAGATCAGGTTTTGACGTTTCAGATTCTTGATCTGGTTCCGGATCAGGCTGGGGAGGCAATTCTTTCTTTTCATTGGGCTCCTTCTTCTCCTCCTCTGGTGGAACTTTGGGCTCTTTGGTTGGTGGCGGTGCAGGTTCTTCTCCATCTGGGATGGGTTCAGAAGAAAAGTTGCTCAGTGCCGGAGGCAGGGTAGGACTCTGCTTCTTCTGCTGGTCGGTGCTCTCTGAGGACATCTTTCTAACCCTTTGGTCCCTAGGAGAGATTATTGAGATGTTGACTATATAACAGAATTAAATATTATTGTAACAACGAAGCAGAAAAGTGGGGAGTGAGTAATCAGTCTGAAGCAGTGCCAAATCTTTCCCAATTTCACAATTAGAAAGTTAGTTTCTTGGAGGGAAAATACAATAGTTGGAATCCTCTATCTCAGTATACATTACATAGCTATGTAATGTATACTGAGATATGTGCTCTTCCAGCAGTCACCAACCAACCCCTCCCCAATGCCAGAGATACAGCTTAATGGTGTAACATTACAAAATGTTGACCATTTCCGCTACCTTGGCAGCCACCTCTCCACCAAAGTCAACATTGACACTGAAATACAACACCGCCTGAGCTCTGCGAGTGCAGCAATTTTCCGAATGAAGCAGAGAGTGTTTGAGGACAGGGACATCCGTGGGGAGACCAAGGTGCTTGTTTATAAAGCCATTGTCCTCCCAACCCTGTTATATGCCTGCAAAACGTGGACTGTCTACAGATGTCAACATTGACACTGAAATGCAACACCGCCTGAGCTCTGCGAGTGCAGCATTTTTCTGAATGAAGCAGAGAGTGTTTGAGGACGGGGACATCCGTAGGGAGACCAAGGTGCTTGTTTATACAGCCATTGTCCTCACAATCCTGTTACATGCCTGCAAAACGTGGACTGTCTATAAACATCAACATTGACATTGAAATGCAACACCGCCTGAGCTCTGTGAGCGCAGCATTTTTCCGAATGAAGCAGAGAGTGTTTGAGGATGGGGACATCCGTAGGGATAACAAGGTGCTTGTTTATAAAGCTATTGTCCTCCCAACCCTGTTATATGCCTGCGAAACGTGGACTGTCTACAGATGTCACATGCAACATACAACAACGCCTGAGCTCTGCAAGTGCAGCATTTTTCCGAATGAAGCAGAGAGTGTTTGAGGACCGGGACATCCGTAGGGATACCAAGGTGCTTGTTTATAAAGCTATTGTCCTCCCAACCCTGCTATACGCCTGCGAAACGTGGACTGTCTACAGATGTCACATGCAACTCCTGGAACGATTCCATCAGCGCTGCCTCCGGAAAATCCTGCAAATCTCTTGGGAAGACAAGCGGACAATCTCAGCGTGCTGGAAGAAGAAAGACCATTAGCATTGAAGCAATGGTCCTCTGCCATCAACTCTGCTGGACCGGCCACGTTGTCCTCCCGCTGGGAGGGAGGGAGGGAAAGAAAGAAAGAAGAGAGGGAGGGAGGGAAAGAAGGGAGGGAGGGAGGGAGGGAGGAAGGAGGGAAGAGGGAAAGAAGGAAGGAAGAAGGAAGAAGGAAAGAGGGAGGGAGGGAGGAGGAGGGAGGGAGAAGGAAGGAAGGAAGGAAGGAAGGAAGGAAGGGAGAAAGGAAGGAAGGGAGGAAGGAAGGAAGGAAGGAAGGAAGGAAGAAGGAAGGAAAGAAGGAAGGAGAAAGGAGGGAGGAAAAAAGGAGGGAGGGAAAGGGGGGGAGAGAGGGAGGGAGGGGGGAGGGAGGGAGGGAGGGAAAGAAGGAGGAGGGGAAGGAGGGAAAGAAAGAAGGAAGGAAAGAAGGAAAGGAGGAAAGGAGGAAAGGGAGGGAAAAGGGAGGGAGGGAGGGAGGAAGGAAGGAAGGAAGGAAGGAAGGAAGGAAGGAAGGAAGGAAGGAAGGAAGAGGGAGGGAGGGGGGAGGGAGGGAGGGAGGGAGGGAAGAAAGAAGGAAGGAAGGGAAGGAGGGAAGGAAAGAGGGGAAAGGAGGGGAGGAAGGGAGGGAGGGAAAAGGAAGGAGGGAAAGGGAGGAGGGAAGGAAGGAAAGGAAGGAAGGAGAGGAAGGAAGGAAGAAGGAAGGAAGGGAGGAAGAAAAGGAAGGAAAGGAAAAAGAAGGAAGGAAGGAAAGAAGAAGAAAGAAAGAAGAAAGAAGGAAAAGAGGAAAAGCAGGAAGGAAGGGAAAGAAGGGAGGGGGGAGGAAGAGAGGGAAGAAGGAATGAAGGAAAGAAGGGAAAGAAGGAAGGAGGGAAGGAAGGAAGGAAGGAAGGAAGGAAGGAAGGAAGGAAGGAAGGAAGGAAGGAAGGAAGGAGAAAATAGAAAGGATGGGAGACTTTATCTCCTACTTAGGTAATTTTTGACCTTAACCCAAATTTAGTTTTAACGAATCAAAAGGCAGGCAACTTAAGCAAAATTGTCACTTACCTGGTCAAGTCAAAAGCAAACACCCCAAAGTTGTCTGTTTTGGAGAGAAACAAGGCAATCCCCCTCTTTTTAAACGACTAGCCCTGGGTTGTACCAAGACAGGAAACATCCCCCTTTGTGTCTACCCTCATTGCAACCCGATCAGCTCATACGAATTATCCAGTTGGGCCATTCCAAAGACAGAATACTCCCAAGGATGGCATTTCTCGACACAAAGATCTCCGAGGTATTTTTGTCCAACCTGCCCAGACTCCATTGTTTCCCCAGCCCCCAAATCACAAGCTCTTAGAAAAGGCGGGGGGTGAACACATTTTTCAAATACTGATCTCTCAAGAGGCTGGAAGTTAATCACTAGTTTAAAAATAAAGGGTTATTTTGAAACCAAAAGAAAAGCAATACCAGAAAGTCCACCCAACATGGTGTTCAGATTAGGCTTGAAGTTGGGTGGGACTGTTCATTCTTCATAAGACTTTATGAAACTATGAAATCCAAACTAGAAAGAAGAGGGGATCAAAGGACCACTCCCAAACATATAGACCAGTGGCTCCTAACCTGTGGTCCGTGGATCGCCAGTGGTCCCCAAGAATGAAACTATGGTCCACGGTCTCACTATTATTACACAGTGGCCCCAAAACTACACAGCAAAACCCTCTTATAGTGCTGAGGCAATGGGGATGTTGGGTTGGAAGAGGTGGACTACCAACAAAAGATTACTACTATCACATCAGTTCTAGATTATGAAATATGGTTTTCTGTGGATGAGCAGATGGTGACTACTGGATGGCATATGTTCTGTATCAGGAGCTAGAGCTGATGTGGTCTGTCCAGAGCCATTTTGGTGAATCAGCACCCCAAATAACCAAACCGAATCTGAAGTTGACCATAACTCTTTCAGTACTAACGTTGGGGAGTGGTCCCTGGTCAAGTGGTCCCTAGTCAAATGGTTCCTGGTCAATGTGGTCCCTGGTCAAAGTGTTCCCTGGTGAAGTGGTTCTTGGTGAAGTGGTCCCTGGTCAAGGTCAAAGTGTTCCCTGGTCAAGGTGGTCCCTGGTCAAGGTGGTCCCTGGTCAAAGTGTTCCCTGGTCAAAGTGGTCCCTGGTCAATGTGGTTCCTGGTCAAGTGGTCCCTGGTCAAGTGGTCCCTAGTCAAGTGGTCCCTGGTCAAGGTGGTTCCTGGTCAAAGTGGTCCCTAGTCAATGTAATTCCTGGTCAAAGTAGTCCCTGGTCAAAGTGTTCCCTGGTCAATGTTGTCCCTGGTCAAACTGTTTCCTGGTTAATGTGGTCCCTGGTCAAAGTGTTCCCTGGTCAAAACGTTCCCTGGTCAATGTGGTTCCTGGTCAAGTGGTCCCTGGTCAAGGTGGTCCCTGGTCAAAGTGTTCCCTGGTCAATGTTGTCCCTGGTCAAAGTGTTCCCTGGTCAAAGTGTTCCCTGGTCAAAGTGTTCCCTGGTCAAAGTGGTCCCTGGTCAAAGCGTTCCCTGGTCAATGTAGTTCCTGGTCAAGTGGTCCCTGGTCAATGTGGTTCCTGGTCAAAGTGGTCCCTGGTCAATGTGGTTCCTGGTCAAAGTGGTCCCTGGTCAAAGTGTTCCCTGGTCAATGTGGTTCCTGGTCAAGTGGTCCCTGGTCAAGTGGTCCCTAGTCAAGTGGTCCCTGGTCAAGGTTGTCCCTGGTCAAAGTGTTCCCTGGTCAATGTTGTCCCTGGTCAAAGTGTTTCCTGGTCAATGTGGTCCCTGGTCAAAGTGTTCCCTGGTCAAAACGTTCCCTGGTCAATGTGGTTCCTGGTCAAGTGGGCCCTGGTCAAGGTGGTCCCTGGTCAAAGTGTTCCCTGGTCAATGTTGTCCCTGGTCAAAGTGTTTCCTGGTCAATGTGGTCCCTGGTCAAAGTGTTCCCTGGTCAAAGTGTTCCCTGGTCAAAGTGGTCCCTGGTCAAAGTGTTCCCTGGTCAATGTAGTTCCTGGTCAAGTGGTCCCTGGTCAAGTGGTCCCTGGTCAAAGTAGTCCCTGGTGAAGTGGTCCTTGGTCAAGTGGTCCCTGGTCAAGGTGGTCCCTAGTCAAAATAGTTTGAGAACTACTGATATAGACTTACCAAACAGGTCTTTATTGATGGACTTCCTAATCTCATTTCTTAGAGATCAGAGTTTGCATATGGGCTTATTCAACTATTTTTTTGATGTTGACTATCTGTCAAGGCAATCTGGCCATATTGATCACCAGGGTTGATCGGATAATCAGGAGTTCCTTTCTTTTCCAGACAAGCAACTTTTCTAAACTCTATCTAATCTCATTTCAGACTAGACATCAGGCAATTGAATGGTGTTTGGTCATAGCCACAGTTTCCAGTAACCACCATCTGGCCAGGAGTATATCCTTTCCTCTATCTGGGATGGTCATCCTCATTTGTCATGTAGGAAATTTAAGTACCACTTATGTGGGGAGGCTAATTTAACTGATTTACGAGGCCATAAAAATCTCCAGCAAGCATGCAAAGAATGAGGACGTACTTCATACATGTCAGAAGTGACAAAATGAATAAACAACAACAAAGAATTTGGATTACACCAGAATTTACCCTTCTGTAATCAATGGTCTGACACCCAGACCACTGGAGAGAACCGATTGACACAGTTGGGGAACCAATGAATCAACACTTCAGCAACACTTCACTCTTATTTTACTCTAGTTAGGACTAGGTTTTAACACACCGAGTCTCTTTGTGCACACTGGAACAGCTACACAGTATAACGCCATGCCTTTTCTTTAACCGTGACTGGATTCAGCCAGTTTTACAGGTTGT